CTGGTCTCAATTGTATATTAATCTTTAAAATCCTTTGAATCAGTGTGTGTATTTGAATCCAGAATTTTCTAGCTTTATTACACGTCCACCAAATGTTGATAAAATGTCCCTTCTTGTTATTCACATTTCTAACATAAATTTGAAGTGCCTTTATACATTCTAGACAGTTTCTCTGGTTATATATACCAACAATACATCATTTTATAAAAATTCTCTTTAAGATTATAACATAGTGTAAATTCAGTCAACCACGTATTTTCCCATTGTTCCATCTGTATATTGCAATCAAAATTTAACCTACTTTATCATTGTTGTTGTTGTTCAGTCGTTAAGTCGTGTCCGACTCTTCGTGACCCCATGAACCATATTGCGCCAGGCCTTCCTGTCTCCATCTGTATATTGCAATCAAAATTTAACCTACTTTATCATTGTTGTTGTTGTTCAGTCGTTAAGTCGTGTCCGACTCTTCGTGACCCCATGAACCATATTGCGCCAGGCCTTCCTGTCCTTCACTGCCTCCCTGAGTTTGCTCAGTTTCATGCTCATTGCTTCAGTGATGCTATCTAACCATCTCATCCTCTACCGTCCTCTTCTCCTTTTGCCTTCAATCTTTCCCAGCATCAGGGTCTTCTCCAAAGAGATCTCTCTTCATATTTTATACTTTATACTTTATCATACATTCTGTCATTTGCTCTTCTGTTTCAAATTTCAATAAACATTTATATATTTTAGCAATTACATGTTCATCATTTGTACACAATTCTATTTCAAACTCAGTCTTACAATGTTCAAAACTGTAATTCTTTTGTCTACTTTAAATCTTTCTAATAATTGTAAATAAGAGAACTGTTGGCACCTATATCCCTCTGCCACCAGTTCTTCTCTTGATTTTATTTTACATTCCCTTGACAAAATTCTAGTATCTCATGATAAGCCATTTGCCTATTATTTCTCGTCTATAAAATGCTTCTTGTGCTGAGTACCACAAAGGTGCTTTTGGGCACAACTTGGGTTTGTATCTATTCCATATTTTCAATATGGCACATCTAACATAATTTTAAAATCCGCATTAACCTTAAGTTTGTCGTACCACAAATATCCATGCTATCCAGATCTCAGGTCATGTCCTTCTAACTCCAAGAGCCTTCTATTTCTCAGCAGCACCCACTCTTTCATCCAAACCCTATCCAGATCTCAGGTCATGTCCTTCTAACTCCAAGAGCCTTCTATTTCTCAGCAGCACCCACTCTTTCATCCAAACCCTATCCAGATCTCAGGTCATGTCCTTCTAACTCCAAGAGCCTTCTATTTCTCAGCAGCACCCACTCTTTCATCCAAACCAAACAGCAAACTGCAAAATACAATTTCAAATTGGGTAAACCCAATACTCCTCTTTTCTTTGCATCTTGTAGCGCCTTATATTTAACTCGTGGTTTTTTCCCCCTACCACACAAATTTAGATTTATCCTTCTGCCACTGTTTTAATGGTGTATCAGTTTTCAAAACAGGTATCATCAGAAACAAAAACATCATTCTAGGCAAGGCATTCCTTTTTATCACAGAAATTCTCGTAAAATGCATTTTCAGTTTCCATCACATATAAGATGATTAAAAAGCATTCTGGATATAGAGAAAAGCCATTATATAAGGTTAGATATGAATGCACATTCTGTAATTTATACAATACATATATACTGAATATATGTCTAAAATGTTCAGGACACTGAGACAATGTAGTCCACACAGCTTATAGGATTTATTGAATATTGATTTCAAAAAAGCTTTCAAAAAATTTGGTGTTTTCTTTCTTGTAGGGTCTTACCCGAATGTCTTTCCAGCCCTACACCTACAAGCAGTTACAGCAAATTATTTTATCCAGGATCAATCAGTTAAAAGCATTTGAAGAGGATGCAGTTCAGCTTATTTCGAGAAAGGTAAATTTACTATGGAGGCAGCTATGTTGAATTTTATGTTTGAAATTAACATTGCTCTTAAGAGTTAATGACCGATACTTAAAAACTCTAACTGCAGTACAAAATATATACTGGAGCTGATTAATCTAAGTCTGTATCATAAATTAGTGAAATTTTAAACAAGTGCTACATTCTACATTATCGTTTCTCAATTTTAAAATTCACTCTTGTTATTCCAGTGGGATTCTGAGGAAGGTGAAGACAACATTAATCAAATCCACAGAATTTATCCATTTTTATTTATTTGTTTGTTTGTTTGTTTGTTTATTTAGCAAACCTATATAGCTGCCCAATGACCAGAAGGAACCCCGGGTGGCGAACAAAAATTAAAACCACAATATAATCAAAAGCCCCCAATAAAACTTGCTTTCGTCAACCATACCAGCCAGCTCCATCAACACCTTGGCCCAAGTGCCTGGGGGAAAAGCCAGATTTTTACTGCTTTCCTGAAGGCAAACAGGGTCAGAGCCATCTGTACCTTTGGGGGGAAACTGTTCCATAAGACAAGGGCCATGACAGAAAAGGCACACTTCCTCTGCCCCAACAGGTAACACTGTTTCACTGAAGAGACTCGGAGCATGCTCACCCTGCCAGGTCTAGTGGGGCAAGCAAAGACCACCAGGAATGGACAGTCCTAAAAGTAGCCCGGCCCCATGCCATGTAAGGCTCTAAGGGTAACTACCAACACCTTGAATTGCATCTGGAAGCCTACTGGAAGCCATTGCAGCTCACTCAGTAGTAGTGTTACATGGTCATACTGCAATATGCCCACTACTGTCCACGCCACTGCATTCTGGACCAGCTGCAGCTTCCAAATGCTCTTTAAGGGCAGCCCCATGTAGAACTCCCCATGTTACAATAGCCCAACTGGCAGATGACTAAGGCATTTTGTCTGAATTCTGAAAGCCTCTGTTTAAAATGATCACTTTTCTTTTTAGAAGTTGATCAGAAAATCATACTTGTGCCTAACAGTGTTTGCCTGCCTCCCTGTATTTTGCTTATTTCACTTTTTATATATATATATTTATATATATATATATCTTCCCAAGCAAAAGGCAACTTCCAGATTTCAGCATTACAGGTGACAACAAATAGGGGAAACCAAATTAGCATGGAGAAAGGGGAATATCTGGGTAAGATGAATATTCCACATTAAATAATGTTAAATAGCTATAATTTTTTCTGGATATTGCAGTGTAGAGAAAATGATCAATTTTCATTTTTAATCAATATATTTTAGGTTGCAGCTTTGTCTGGTGATGCAAGACGTTGCCTTGATATCTGTAGAAGGTCCACTGAGATCTGTGAACTTGATAGCAAAAGTGTTCCTGGATTAGTCAACATGGCACATGTTATAGAAGCCATGGATGAAATGTTCTCATCTCCATATATAAATACAATTAGGTAATATAATAGTTTATCTGTGAATCTTCTTTTGTTCATGATACAGAGGAAAATCTGATCTGTGCAACACCTGCCCAGCATAAAGCTTTACTGTACTTTTCAAATAATGGAGATATTCAAATCAGTCATGCTTTTCAATTCATACTTTTTCCATATTGATTTATGTTTAAAAGATGTACAGGTAGTCCTCAGGTTACAACCATTCATTTAGCTACCATTCAAAGTTATGATGGCACTGAATGAATGGTACTTACAACCAGCCCTCCAAGTTCTGGCCATTGCAGCGTCCCCATGGTCACGTGGTTGTGATCTGGGCACTCAGCGCCCAGCTCGCGATTACGTTGCAGCAAGCCGCAGTCACATGATCGCAATCTAATTGCTCAATGACTAGTCAATGAGGAAGCAGCCAGGAAGTCAGAAGTTGCAGTTACATGAGGTCCTCACTTAACAACGGGAACTGGAACTGCCGGAATTGCTGTCACTAAGCAATGCAGCCATGTGATGTCACACTTTACAACTACATTGCTTAGGGATGGAAATTCCAGTCCCAATTGCCATCATAACCCAAGGACTACCTGTATTTGAAACAGATCTTTTCCTAAGGAGATACTCACCAAATGGTCACAATCCTCACTCACTTTCAGTTCTCTAAATAGCTGGGTTCCTTTTTTGGTACTCTTTTACCCTGGTCCTACCCAACTATTCACGTTACATAACAGAATTTTTCCTCTGGATCTCATTTGCAGAGTGTTACACATTTTTTCCCCCAAACTCATCCTTGTTTCTTCCATTATCTCCATTCACTGAACTGTAACTTACAACATCCACCAACCTATGAATCCCTACTTTTATATGCATCCACAACAATTGAGATAACATCAGTCGTACATTGTGTACAGAATATGTGTCTACCCTGTAAATCAACGTACTGTTACTTGCATTCCACCAAGTAGAAGCTATATGTAGTGTACTGACACACTTAGATGTGCTTTTAAAAAAATTTTGCTAATTAATCTTGTTGGGATTCCATTGTTCTCTTTCAGGAATGCTTCACTGCAGGAGCAAATCTTCTTGAAAGCAACAGTTGCCGAATTTCACAGGTCAGGACTGGAAGAAGCTACAATTCACCAGGTAAAAATAAAGAAGGCTTTAGGTATATTCCAGGGATGTACCTTTTCATTGGAAATTACTATTTAATATATTTACAGCATAGTGTAGCTTTTTATCCCAATTCACAAATATGCACTGATTAGATTTTCGTTGTGCTTCAGGTCTTCAGCAGTTCTCCTTGAGCCCATTTTTATATTTTGAATGTAACTCTTTGTGTAGACCATGACTATTATAATAAATTCTTCCAAATTGCATATGTTCAATGTACAGAGTCTGTTTAACAATCTTTAATATAATTTTCAGAATATATACAATTCTGAAAAATGGTGTATCTCATTGATTACTTTCCTATAGAAGGAGGAGAGACATAATTAGAGATTACTCCCTTGACTTGCTTGTTTTTGAACTTCAGTTTTGGTTTTTCCCCTTCTAGATATTTCGTCAGCATGTTGCTCTATGTAGAATTGAAGGCCTGCAAACACCTACTGTATCAGACATAATGGCAATTTCCTCCCGACTTAGTGCTTGTAAACTCTTGCTAGCAGAGTCTAGTGCTAAATACCTCAGCATGCGAATTCGACTCAATGTTAGCCAGAATGATGTTATGTATGCACTCAAGCAAGATCAAGATGCTAAATTTTAGTAAGATTTATTTTAAATAATGGTGCTGATTAATACTTGAAATTTTATTTTTAAACTTATTTTAACTATTCTTGTATTGTGTTTATAATTATAACTATTCTTTAAAAAATAATCCAATTGTTCAAAATGTTCTTATTTATCAATCTATCTCCAGTTGTTGAAAAATAAAACATGTTTTATTCCATTGAAAGTTCATGCAAATTCACCCTCTCCCATTTCTAGATAGCTTCCAAATTATGACATCCAAAATATTAGGCCTGTACAAAACACTGGAAAAAGATTCATTGCAAAGCATATCAGTGTGAGCGAAATGCCCTTTCTAAAGCATTAAAGCAGCTGCATTTTTCAGCAGCTGTTTTGAAGGTCCTTAGCTGCTGTTCTAGAGGTCCCAGCAAAAGTACTGTACGACCATTCAAAATTACGATGGTCTTGGAAAGGGTACTTCATGGCCCATAAAGCACTTTTGGCTGTCACGTTTGCCAAGTGCCCTGGGATCATGTGATTGCCATTTTCAATCTTCTTTGTCGGCTTCCCCATTGGAAGCCAGCAGGGAAGGTTGCAAGCGGAGGGGACGTGGCGGTGTGCAGTTATGGACCTCAAATTTTCAGGTGCTCTGTTTACCGCCAAGAGAGGGGAGGGGAAAGAGAATGGAGTGAAAGAATGACAGCTCTTTCGCGCCATCCTTTCCTTCACTCTGTCCTCTTTCTCCTCACCTCTCAGTGGTGTGCTCCATTCACTGCTGAGAGAGTGGAGGGGAAAGAGGACGGAGCGAAAGAGCTTGTCTGTTGAAGGATTTCTTTCGCAGACAGCTTGTTCACTCCATCCACTTAACAACCCAGGAGATTGCTTAACGACCACAACCAGGAATGCCCAGATTGCAGTCACTGAGCAAAGCAGTCACGTGGGCTTCTCGCTTAACGACTGCTTCGCTCAGTGACCAAGATTCCAATCCCAGTCATGGTTGTTAGGCAAGGACTACCTGTACCGACAATTGGTGAGTGTCTTCAAGCAGCTATGCAAATAATCCATCACAATTGTTTTAATGTTTTGAAGAACGGTCTTTTGTTCATGGTAACCACACTTTGTAAAGCACCTCTTTCAAATGCTTTTCAAAACCTTAATAACTATGCTTAGCCTTCAGTTTTGACTATTGTAAACCTATTTACAATTTTAGAAATAAAATGGTGGTATTATTTACCAACTGAAATATCAAGGAAAACTTTAATTAATCAAAGCTAGAAAGTGGAGAAAAGAAGCATATCATTCTTCAGAAGTATTATTCATCTAATCATGTTTTTGCATTTTATTTGAATTAAACCTGAAATGTTTCTTCTATATAATATGATCAATAGATGGCAGTGCAACCTGTAATCCCTCTGATTTTCCTTGGGCCAAAACCCAGAACAACACAAATATCTTGGGGTTTCTTTCTGCCAAGTTGTGACTGATCCAAAACAGTTCTAGTTTGGTAGAACTTCCAGAACATAATTGTTTATTTCTGGGTTGAAACAAAACATGTTTTTCATTTCATGCAAACCTCTAAAGGAAAAAAATAGAAAAAATCTAAAATTAATTATAACTAATTATAATTTTTGTAACTGATTATTTTAAAAGCCTGATGGGGTGATAGGAGTTTTTAAATGCATTTTTAAATTTAAAAATCTAGGAAAATAAAAGTCTACCTAGCATGGAAAAGACCTGTGTTACAACTCTTGGAGGAAAACATGCTACACAAGGGTGCTGCATTTTCAAAACACTTAACTAAGTACATACAAGTACTCAGGGTAACTGAAACTCTTTGGGTAACCTGCTATTTAGAATGTTAATGTATCAGTACTTTGACTCTCGAAACACTGATAGCTAGTGCAGATAACAACACATAATATTGTATCTACCAATTTCAGTGAACAAACTTGCTACCATAGTTTGGAATCAGTTTAAGCTCCAAGGCAACTTTGTTTATAAAGCACTTAAGTAATCCACGAGATGATGAAATCACTTTTCATCCATTTAAAAAATGTGCTCCAAACCATAGAGGCAAACTGCACTTGGAACAAATCATTAGAGAAAGTAGAGTCTATTTCAACATAGGCTTCATTCCATTCAAATGGGATCTTTTTAATAGCACTTCTCAGGTTATTTATTAGTCATCATCCAGTACATTATTGTCTCCGTCACTGGTTCAGGACATCTATTAAGGTTCGAGCCCAGCTCCGCGGGACAGGGTGAGCTCCGGCTTCTTCCCCAGCTCCTGCCAACCCAGCAGCTCGAAAACTGA